GATAAAATTTTGTAGTCGGCTGAGTTGTCGACCAGCATGTCAAAGTTAGGTAAAAGAGATGCATCTTTGGTACATGCTCGGTTGAGATCAGTATAGTCAACACACATACGCTATTTTCTATTATTTTTCTTAACAAGTACAACATTGGAGAGCCAGATTGAATATCAGGACTCAGAAATAAAGTATGCCTCTAGGAGGTCTTTTACAGCTTTTTCAGCAGCCTCCGCTTTTTCGGGAGACTGCCTACGCCTACATTATACTAGTACCCTAGCGGTTGGATCCACTTCAAGTTGGTGACAGGCGACCTCATGGTCGAGTCCGGGAATCTCTGCAACATTATGTTGTAGTAGTAATTGCTCGACCCGGTCATGAAGGCAATGTAATATTTGTTGCTCATCTCCACGGGGATTTGATTATAGCTCGAGTAAGCATCCATAAATGATAAAATTTTGTAGTCGGTCGAGTTGTTGACCAGCATGTCAATGTTAGGTAAAGGAAATGTATCTTTGGGACATGCCCGGTTGAGATCATTATAGTCAACACACATACGCCATTTTCCATTATTTTTCTTAACAAGTACAACGTTGGAGAGTCGGGTTGAATATCGGGCCTCAGAAATAAAATTTGCCTCTATAAGGTCTTTTACAACTTTTTCAACAGTCCCCGCTTTTTCGGGAGATTGTCTATGTTGTACTACTTCCCTGGCGGCTGGATCCACAGCAAGTTGGTGACAGGCGACCTCAGGGTCTAGTCTGGGAATCTCTGCAGAGTTCTATGCGAATAGATCAGTGTTTTCCCTCAAGTAGGCTCTGAGCTGCTTCCTCGCCAGGTCGGGGAGTCCAGCACCGATCTTCACTCCTTTGCTCGGGTCTTCACCGAGGGGGGTGAACTCGAATTCTTTGTCTGGGATGGGTCGGAGAGGATCGTGTTCGCCATTGGGGGCCTCGACTTCATCTTTGTGAAAGCGGGTGTCGAGGTTAATAGAGTCGACCTTTGGTGGAGCTTGTTGTTCTTCAACTCGAGCCGGTTTTTCCACTGAGGTAGCTGTTATTGTTGACGTGGTTGCTCTTTAGTAGTTTGTGCCCCAGTGTCGACCATGTTTTTCCCTTTGGAAGTGGCGTTGAAACATCTCCTGGCAGCTGAGATGTCTCCATGAATGGTGGCAACGCGGGGCCTCTTGGTGTAGAAATTTATCTTTAAATGCACCGTGGAGGGTACGGTGGTTAGCTCCGCCGGTGTTGGTCTCCCTGGGATGGAGTTGTAGAGAGATGGTCTATCGATCACAAGAAACCGCACTTTGACCTGTCGAGATAAAGTTTCTTCCCCGAAAGTTACGAACTGCTCGACGTAGCCCCATGGATTGGATGTCGAACCGTTAAATCCTTGCAGGTCGAACCCCACATATGGTGATAGGTGGGTATCGTCGAGTTGCAGGGTGTGGAACAGGTGGTTGTACATGACATTGACGGAGCTCCCTTCATCGACCAGGATGCGATGTACATCAAAGTTGGCCATTTTTGCCCTCACCGACAGAGGAATGCTGGAGTTGGGGGCTCCGCCAGGCAGGTCCTCGAGATAGAAGATGATTGGCTCAGATTTTCCCTTGAATCTTTCAAGGGTTACAGCCTAGATCAGGGCTGCATCTACCAACTCGTTGAGTTTCCTCTTTGCTGAATTCATCGAGATGTCAGTTAATCCCCCGCCATATATGACCATGGTGGAGGGGAACTTCTCCCATCTCTTGTGGGTGAACAAAGGCTCGTCATCTTCAAGACTGTCGGGGATGTGGAAGTCTTCGGGCCTTGAGACGCAGTAGGCTGCCTGGAAGGGACTAGGGTCATCGGATGGTCGGACATCCTCCCTAATTTATTTAACCTCGTTGGTGTCCCGACGAGGGGCATCGTTCCTCTTGTACTTGTCAAGTCTCCCTGCCTTTATGAGAGTCTCGATGGCATCCTTCGGGTGGATGCAGTCTTCGGTCAGGTGACCATGGCTCTGGTGATACTGACAGTATTTTGTTCTATCGGCCCTGGGATTTATAGGGGTGGGTCGAGGACATCTGACCCCGCCGTCCTTGAACTCAGCATTGAAGCACTCTACAAGGATACGCTCACGGGACGCGGTCAGTGGGGTGTATCTGGTGAACCGCCTAGTTGATCCTATGTGTTGGTGGGGTCGCGAGGTTTCTCCTCCCTTCTCTTCTCACTTGTTCATCGAGAAGAGCCTGCGTCATTGTGTTGTGGGACGTTAGTTGGTCAGTGGTTCCTCGAATCACAGGCATTGTTGGCAGCCTCTTTTTCCTCGTAGTCCATGTATGCCCAGGATTTTTCGAGGAGTGCGTCAAAAGACCCAGGAGGCTCTCCAATGCAGGACCTCGCCCAGTTCTAGAGGGAGCGAGTGGGAGACCGGTTGTAGCGGCAGTCTTTGTGTCAGTCTTGGACACGGGGGGATTCCTCGTCCGAGACTTCTTTTCTTCGTCGCCCATGTTCCTTTTATGTTTAGGGGATCTTCGCTCTTTGCATGGGGGTGTGACCGCGCTTCTTGACAACTTTGGGATGGGTTCTCTCCAATGTAGGACCTCGCCCAGTTCGGAGGGTAGAAGGGCCGAGAATCATCCCGTCTGTGTCTCAGCGGGGGATATCTAGAGCGGTTCTCATTCTATCAGGGAGAAGGAGTTCGAGAATCGGGTCTCTGATGCTTTCTAGGGGACCTGTGAGTTTGTTCCAGCATCAAAGTGGTCGATGTGGTCGACGGGATCAGCAATGTCGTCGTACTCCTTCAGATGGGGAGGATTCTCCATCCCTTTAGGAATAAGGGCCTCCATGATAGCTTGGGACAGTGGACCACGAGGGTCATCTTCTTTCCGGGGAGCAAGAGGGGGACCAGTTGTAGCGGAAGTCTTTGTGTCGATCTTGGACACGGGGGGGATTTCTCGGCCGAGACTTATTTTCTTTGTCGCCCATGTTCCTTTTACGTTCAGGGGATCGTCGCTCTTTGTGCGGGGAGTGTGACTATGCTTCTTGATAGCTTTAGGTTAAGTCCTCTCCAATGCAGGACCTCGCCAAGTTCAGCGGGGAGAAGGGTTTTGAGAATCGTTTTGTCTGTGTCTCCGCGGGGGAGATCGAGAGCATTCCTCATTCCGTCGGGGAGGAGGAGTTCGAGAATCAGGTCTTCGGTGCTTTCTGGGGGACCGGCTAGTCTGTTCCAGCATCATCAGACACTCACCCTGCACAAAGATCATGTAGTTCGTCTGGTTGATCGCCGCAAACAGGGCTCTTGTCGTGGCGTCAGGATTTTCAAGAACAGGGATCTCCTGATACACGGTCGGCTTGTAATTTTGCCGAGGATGATGGGCTTCTTTGCGTGGTTGCAAGCGAGTGGAGGAAGATGCGGTCATCCCGTCTCGGGAGTCTTGCTAAGGAGAGGCAATATTGTTGTTATTGTACGCGTTGTTGTTGTTGTTGCCAACATTGTTGTTGTTGTCGACGTCGATGAAGTGAACATTTTGGTCATTATTGATAGCTTGGTTGGCCATGATAACCTGAAAGTTAAAGATGTTGCTTTGGTCTTACGTGAATGAAAGACGGGGAAACCTTGTTCCCACACACGGTGTCATTGATCGTACCTGATGAGAAGAGATCGTCAAGGTCCACGAGCTTTAAGTTAAGTAGAGGTTGAATGTGAAGTGGGGGGGTACCTGCAAGATACTCTGATGCCAAAGTGAGATTCAGAGAGAGAGCGGGCAAAGTAGGTTAGGTAGAATGAATGAATGAATGGATACCTGACTCTCTCGAGTGAGAGGGTTTATATAGCCCCTAATATTGGGCCAAGGTCTTTTGTGTTGGGCCACTATGAGGCCCAATAATGAAGACTTCCAGGGTTTACGGGTGTATGGAGTTCAGCAAGTGGCCTCCTCCCTGGTCAACTGCCCCGCGAAAGTAGGGAAGTTAGACCCGTTATTTTCGGAGGACAGGATGATGACGTTGTGGACACGTGGGTCATGCTCTTCTAGTGGACACGTGGGGAAATGCCCAACGGTCCTCAGTTTGGGATGCATGCTTTTGAGTATTTGTAAAGACGCTGGATTGAGTCTCCCCAACGGTGGGACAAGTGTCGGCTCAGTCCAGAATAATTCATAACATAGATTCAACATAATTCATCAAAATTACATATATAGTTCTAAAGAATTTTAAAATTAAATGTTGTTATAAACGGGTAGTTGAGGACGTTGCAACATTTTGATAACATCTTTTCCCGATCTTTGAAGCTTCACGTCCACCTCAATCGGACCCTTAGAAGAGTATCGTTGAAAAGTATCCCACATAACCTCTAAATCGTCGTCGTTCTTGAGCTCAAACGGGATGAACTTTACGTTTCGAATATGCATATCCGAAACTACTTCTATAATTTTAAATCGAACGTTTAAGTATTAAAACATGAAAAATAGTGACTTTAAATATGCATATCCGAAACATACTGAAAGATGCATTCATATATGCACATCTAAATAGTATTTTTTGAGTTTTCACATGTTTAACTCAACACATGGAGAAAGAAATTCTCTTAAATCATGTCATGTGATGCAACAAACTTCCGTGAAAGGAAATCCAATCCCCATGCAATGTTAAGCCCATAATTTATGGATAAAACTCTAATGAAGAAGAAGATTCTTACTTAATTCATTGTTTTTTGCTGCCCATAATTTAACGTTGTTCCACATTCTGTTTTGTAAACTTTAGTTAAATAGTTTAATAATTTTTCACCAAGTTGCAAAGCCGTTTCGTTAAATAATAATATAGAAGTAAATAAAATAACAATGCAATATGCCGTGGCAGGAATCTTGAATATGAAAGCAACCATGCAGATTCAGACTAATTTTAAGTTCTTTCTGTCTCTATATAAACCACCAATATCATTTCATTCAATTCATACCAATTTACAATTCTTCTTCCAACACACTAACAAACACACCTCAACAAGGTTTTCTTTGGTAACAAAAAATGGTTTCTAACAACCAAAAACAATACATGTGTGGTTTGTTCCTCATCCTTGCACTTGGTATTACTAATGTAATGTCCCGAAAGTTGCAACAATCATCATCACCGTCCTTAGTAGAAAGGCACGAGCAATGGATAACAGAATATGGCAAAGTATATAAAGATGGTGCTGAGAAAGACAAACGTTTCATGATATTCAAGGACAATGTTGAGTTCATTGAATCATTCAATGCTGCCAACAACAAACCTTACAAACTGGGTGTTAATCACCTAGCTGATTTGACTCTTGAAGAATTTAAAGCTTCTCGTAATGGTTACAAAAAGAGGTCTACTAGTACTGAGCTTACTTCAACATCATTCAAGTATGAAGATGTGACTTCTATTCCAGCATCTGTAGATTGGAGGGTAAAAGGAGCTGTTACTCCAATCAAGGACCAAGGTCAATGTGGTAAGTATAAGATACACAATGAACAACATTTTTATTTGAATCAATTAATTAATGTTTGTTTTGAAAATGAATCAAGGGAGCTGCTGGGCATTTTCAACTGTTGCTGCAACGGAAGGTATCAACCAAATAACAACAGGCAAACTAGTATCCCTCTCAGAGCAAGAGTTAGTTGATTGTGACACAAAGGGTGAAGACCAAGGATGTGAAGGAGGATTAATGGAAGATGGTTTTGAGTTTATCATCAAAAATGGTGGAATCACAAGTGAGACTAATTATCCTTATAAAGCAACTGATGGAAGGTGTAACACTGCAACAACCGTTCCTGTGGCTAAGATAAAGGGATATGAGAAAGTTCCAGTGAATAGTGAGGATGCGCTTCTTAAAGCCGTGGCCAACCAACCAATATCAGTTTCTATTGATGCTAGTGATTCAAGTTTCATGTTTTATTCGCATGGAATTTATACAGGAGAATGTGGAACTGAGCTAGATCATGGTGTTACTGCGGTTGGTTATGGAAGTGCGAATGGAACTGATTATTGGTTGGTTAAGAATTCATGGGGAACAGTGTGGGGTGAGAAAGGATACATAAGAATGCAAAGAGGTATAGCTGCTAAGGAAGGCTTGTGTGGCATTGCCATGGATTCTTCTTATCCAACTGCTTAATTCATTTCTCCAATTATGTATAGATTCAATCTCATGCTTACATTTTTCTTGTTTTTTTTAATGAAATTATGGATACATACTTGTAAACTTATATTTTAACAAATTTTATTATATACTTATATGAAATCTATATAGTTGTGTTATTTAAACTTCAAAATATAGAAACTATACGACACTATAACTTATCTATACTATTTTTTATCTTGTTAATATATAGATATTGTTGGGAAGTCTTTGTGGCACCGGAAATATCAATAGATTAAATGTTAAGAATTTCAAAGATTTTGACATCCGTATCCACACAAAATATAAGATAAATGATATATAGGTCTTTTTTTCTTATATATTCAACATTCCCTCCATTTTTTATTTATGTGAAATTTTAATCACTCATAGTTGAGTTCAACGATCTTCTTCACAAGTGTGAGTCACCCAACATCGGTAGTCGTGATCCATATTAGGAACTCACTCCCGCTTCACCACCGAGCATAACTATGACTCTAATACTACTCGTTGAATTGTCACTTTGTGTTGGTTTGACCTTTTTTGGAGCATCTTTTGTTTTCACCGGTTGCGACGTTTATTTCAAATATTTGATTTCTAAATAGGAAATCTTCCTCAGTTGCTCTTTGATGTTGAGCTTTATGTTGTCATTGACCTTCAAAAAATCTCTCTTGAATCACTCCTCATTTGATTAAGATAGAGATATTCGATCTACCGTCTTCCATCACATCATCATCATCAAACTAGAACCTTTTCTAATGAGTGTTAACATCATTCATTCGTATTATGCTATCAAATTTCACCTTCTTTGAAATTAAACGTGCACAAGGAAGATCGTACGTCTTCCTAAGTATACAACCGAACTTTGATTTATTTGAAACTGCTTTTTCAGTTCGTTTAACTTCGTGAAAAATAAAATTCAATCCCGCTCAGGATTTATTGTCAACCCATTGTGAATAGAGATTGTTGTCTATGAATGTTTGTTATAAAACTGTAATGTTGCGACCAAATGATGTTTGTATCTCATTATGTTAATTTTGAATCATTTGATTTACAGAGTCTCAATCTCTATATAAATCACCTTTACTATTTCTCAATCAATTCTTAAATGTAACATGGACAAATTCAACTCGATTAGTTGTTGTATTTCTAAAGTGTCTAACTTGATTGGTTCAAGCACAATCAATTTTCTCTTTCACGTGGTATAGAATTGTACTTTTAACATATTTTAAGAAATTTGGATGTTTCTCGCACACCTTTCTGAAATGTATAACAGAATTGGCATATAACTCTTTCGTAGAAAATTTTATTATATCATTCCAAGCATCCATTATACTTTTCTATATCACACTAGTTTTGACCATTTTCTCATCTTCATCATTTATTTGTTTTGTCCTTACCGTAGGTTTAGGTCTACTTCTCACATTCTTTGTTATGTGATACCTACAAAATTATACATATGATATAGGAAACACATTGTAATTGAGTTCAGCAGTGCGGTATCGTGATCGGTGGCAATGACATTTGACATGTTCTCTTGGTCCTTCAACAAGTCCTACACATTTCTAAAGTCCATGTAACATTTGCCTTTTTTCCGTTTTCTAAAAATGCAAACCCAGTTGAAAAAATATTTTTCATAAAAGACCGACAAATTTTCATAGTGTAAGTTTGTACTTGTTTGTCTTATATGTTAGATCAATAATGAGTATTGTGGAAAATGTGTTGAACAACTTTATGGAATAAGGATGACTCTAAAATATATCTTGAATGATTTCTCCATCATCGCACACTATGTACCTAGATACATAATAGTTATCATCTAAAAGCTTCAACAATTATTGTATTTTAATTTTATCCCCTCTTATCGCCTTGTTGTTTCTGGTACGAACATTGTATACTTGTTTGATATTGGAGATATTTTGAGGTTTTTTTCGTTTCAAAGTTGCAAGTATATTTTTTGGTTCCACCATATTTAGTGTCATATCAGAAACGATTTCCCTTTCTTCATCCTTAAAGAAACATGCAATGGGATGATCGGCAAACTTATGACACATGACACGATTATGTATACCATAAATCACATTAAATTTTCATGTATTATTCGCTATAAAATATCCGCGCAATTTAAATGGACAAACACATTTCCTTAAATTGATATCATCTTGTTTCAACATTTGGATAAGTTTGAAGAACAAATGGTGGAGTATTTTTTATCATGAGTGAAGCAAACCTGTAATATAAGGTGTCATTTCATTAAATTTCTTGCTTGACATTTTCGAAAATACACTTTCAAGATAGTCCCTAAACTGAAAAATGCATGCAAAATAGTAATTTTTTAAATTTCCGCTTAACAGATCCAAAACTACACTTTCATATTTGTCATTGCTTTAATAAATGAACAAAATCATTGAAGAGGTTTGTCCAAAGAATACAATTTCAAACTAGTTTTTAAAGAATTAAGATGTGTCCCTTATCCAAAGAATACAATTTCAAACTAGTTTTTAAAAATTAAGATGTGTCCCTTAAACTCTATTTTGGTGTGAAATTAATACATCGAAAAATGTAATTTCAAAATCAAGAATATAATTTCAAATTTCTATGGTGTTCATCCACCAGTTAAGGTGAGAGAAATAATCCTCCCCTTTCTTCCTTTGAATGTGTTTGGATTTGTGGTATAGAATAGAATTTAATGAGATTCTATTATTTGAATTTGTAAATCATTAACATGATAGAATACAAAATCATAGAATCCAATCCATTCCATTGAATTACACTTTTATTTCATCCAATTTGGAGTGCAATTTAAAGTGTAAGTGATGTAATGAAATATTTTTAATAAAATAATCAAAGAATTTTTATTTCATTCCGCCACTATGATCTATTAATGAAATATTAATTTTTTAAAGACAATTAATATAAATATAAAACAAAAGGGTCTGCTGCAAAAGATTTCACCTTTTTACCAAAATTTACTTCCCTACGTGGACACCTCACCCCTTCTACCATTACAACACTCAAAAATGGGGCGTTTAGGAAGTGCTTATTTTGTTAGAGATTCTGCCGTCCAATTAATCTATTGTGTTTAGTTAAGCTTTTGAAACCTCAAACTCACGATAAAAGACAGCTGACAGCTTTGATGTGATTTGGTAAAAGCTACAAATCACTTTTAACCAAAACAATCTTTTTTCATGGTGGCCTTTAAACGTAGTATTATATTTCTAACCTGTTTCTCTGCACATTTGAGAAGACAAGAAAATAAAACAACTTGTGACCTTATTTTAACAGGCTTCATAAACACGCCCATATGAGAAACCGAGAAAATAAAGCAAATTGTGACTTACTTGGAAGTATTTAAACAAGTTAACACATGGGCTTCATCATGAAATAGCAGAAAATTCAAAATATCATAACAATCCATCAAAAATTTCAACAGAATTTAAGCCAGTATCCCAAAGAAAACAAACTATAGATGCCAAAAATAGTAACCTAACAAGAAATAACTCAGATCTGCTGAGATTTGTTAAGGATCACTCCCTCATACTTCACTTGGAACCATTTCATTGCATCATCCTTGGTAACACGGTGTTGGATTCCAACACGGGCTTTGCACCTACGGCGACGACCCACACGATAACCAGGGCGCTCCAAAACAACAAAAAAGTCCATACCATAGATACCAGTAGATGGATCATACCTAAAGTAGATTGTCAAGTGTCAAAGACAGATAATGCGTAAATAGCTTAAAGACCTAGCCTATAATTGTAATTAGTCTCTACCATAACTTTTATCAAATTATCAAATTTAATGCTAGGAAATACAATGAGTTGTTTTTAAGCTTACTTGATTCCAAGATCAATATGCTCCTGAATTCCGAAGCCAAAGCATCCAGTATCACTGAAGTTCCTTCTTAGAAGCTCATACTCCTTCACCTTCAGTCCACTCTCCAAAAGTTGCATGGCCTTGTCACCTCTAACAGTTACATAGCATGCAATCTTCTCATTTCTTCTAATACCAAAGGAACGGACAGTGTACCTTGCTGAAAAACTCCAACAGAGAAAATAAAAATGAGACATCAACAAATAGTTGAAACAATAACATCCAAGAAAATACATGGAAACTAGGTTTAACTGAGCAGAAGCCACGACAATCAAGTACTATCAGAAATAAAAGCCTCAACTCTAGCAAGTTTGGATTGGTAGAAGCATTGTCAAAATAACACTGAGCTCACAATTTTAGCAAAAGCAATGGTATGTAAGTTCAACATAAACTTTTCCAAGCTTACCAATAATCCAAACACACATGAACCTACCAATTCAATGCAACAGAAAGTTTTTGAATTTTTAGTGCTTATCCCAATCAGATACCTCTTAAGACACATAACATAACAAACTACCACCACTCTAGTCACAAGTTCAAACCTCTAATTATTTCAAATCACATCAAAAATTAAACTAACATTGCTACCCTGTTATCAAAAATTTCACATTGTTACTACATAAGTACAAAAATAGAACATCCAATTATTAACCCTAAAATAAACAAAAATGGTGATAAATATAAAAATAATTAATAAACAAAACTTATAAATTAACAGAGCCCTTAGATCCATAACCATTACAAGCATAATAATAAAATGGTTGAGAACAAACCTTTGGAGAACACTGGTGTTTGTCCACTGAGTTGCTCGAGCACCTACAACAGAAACAAAAATAATAAAAAAGAAGAAATTGAAATCGAAAACGAAACAAGAATCGAACGATGAAAGCAATGAGAACCTTGGCAGCTCTGGTAAGACGATCTCCACTCTCACCAACGGAGATGTTGAGGACAAGCTTCTGAACCTTGATATCCCTCATAGGGTTCGCCAATTTCGCCTCGGAAGCCTGAGTTTTGTTCACAAAAACACATAATCAAACTTAGGTAAATGAAAAGGAGATTCAGAATCTTAGAAGCATGGAAATGAAGGTAAACAGTGTGTACCATTTGATCTGGTTGAA